ATTACAGAAATATTAAAAGAAACATCAGTTGCCGTGGGAGCAAATTACAACACAATCTTTTATATTGAAATAATGAGACATTATTGGTAAGTCTATTTAATCTCTCAGTATTAAAGTGCTGTTTTTCTAAAACTTCTTAACTGAAATAAAACCATAAGCTCACTGTATAGTTAATTTTAAATAACCGTGAAGATTATTTGAAAAAGCAAAACAATAACAGGTGATCTTAATGTACTTTTGGTGACCGAGTCGATCATAAGATATTTTGACCGAATTAGCCATTAGTCTTCAAATGCTAGTCAGTAAAATCATATTTATCCCAAAGTAAAATTCTGAACACAAACATATGAAAACTGGGCATTTGCATCCAAAAAGTGTAATTTTCTCATAGTACCAAATACAGTAGACATGTCATCTTGTTTTAGTTTCAGAAATATAAAACAATAATTTGTATTTGTTATTAGAGTAAATAAAAGTTACAACGTTCCTTTTCATTAATCTATAATACAACCACGTAAAATACTTTCTGTACCGTTATAACCTGTGTGCTTGAGAATCATTAAATATGCGATCGAAATATTGCACCTATCCAATAAATCATTCCTCAAAACCTATTGTAAAATCTGTAATTTAGTTCAAAATAGCTCTAAGCCTAATGTAACAACTGGCTAATTGAATTTCTGTTAATACTCTTATTGCTAATATTAATGCTAATATATATATATATATATGATGTTACTTTAAATGACACTATGCCATTATTCCAATTATCCTAACAACTGAAGGAAAGCTTAGTAATATTTAGCAACAATAAAAGGTCATACAAGAAATTCTCTCCAAAGACGACAAACAACAATTTCGTAAATTGTTCAACGTTTTTCGCCTTGAATAGGCAAAACTGCAGTTCATAGTATTAGCAGAGTACGGTGAATCAAAAAATAAATATACAAGGCAGAGCTCTATGTCACACAGTATATACACCATTAATTTAGGCTACTAAATGGTGAATTGAAAATGATTTTAAAACCCCAAAAATATTTTTCAACATTTGATTACCCTTAAAGCAAAAAATGTTCTAAAACCATTTTTTAAATTAGGTATTAACAAGTTAAAGCTGCATTTGAAAGGAAGTAGCTGATATTTTCAGTACGTGTGAAAACATCCAAAATAACCCCAAAATGTCGAAAATCACAAGGATTTCTAATACTAGGAGTAAACTTACTAAACATTATTTACTTTCTAATTTGGGTCAGTACTTGTTTGCGTTCACTCGTATGTTAAATTTTTCCCATTCCTGAAACGATACATACCATAGACACAGAGGAAGAACAGTAGGTGTCGCTTTTAATCATTCTAAACTACAACAATGCTACTACGGTTTGCACTGACAATAAGTATATGTGAATAAAATGCTGTATTATAATACTTAATTATACTTGTTAAACACTACATACTTAACATAGAATGTCAAAGTTCTGCTTTAGAAAGTACGTGATTATTACAAACGTTACGCTCGGTTATAAAATATTAACTTTTCAGAACATTTTGGTTTCACTATCATCACAAGCAGCAACGCACCATGCCAAATAAGAAACAGCTTCCACACATCTTGTTTTAATTTTGATACAAATCAACCTTGAATGTACTTGAAATATTCCGGAAATACCTTTGAAGAAAGGTATTTATTAATGTGTATATATATTTCACACATTTTTGTCTTGCAAGAATATTACTAAGCTTTACATTCGCAATAGAATTATATGATCATAACAATAATACTGTGTTTACTGAGAACTTCACAATTTGTTTTGGAAAGTACATCATTAACCCAAAGATTATTTTAAGTTATACTGCATTATATTTACATGCAATATATATTTCAAGAACACTTATTTGTTATCAGATATGTCTGAGAGGTCTCAAGAGCAGTGATAAACCTCATAAAACTGAGAAGCGAAATTGAAACATTGTCTAAGAACTTCGAGTGGATGAATGTAGGCGTATCAACTTGTATTAAAACAAAAATAAGCACATTTGTTCTCACTATATTGACAGTACAAAGAATCTTACGTAGAAGCATACAATGACTTGTCTTTAACCTGTTTACAAGAATTGTTGTACAGATATTGACGAATGGAGAAGCTGGTGATAAAAGTAATAAATACAATACGCATATGAATACTAGATTACTACACCAGCATTATTAAGTTTATTCAACTGCAAGTTTTTAAACCCTTAGAGGTTTACAAGGTGGGAAGGCTAATTTATGGGCAACCTTGATCTATCTTTATAGTTTCACCTTCTGTTGTGTAGGAAGGTGTTGTATATGTTAGATCAAACTTATTATCTCTGGAATAGTATCTCTAAATAGTCTATTTTTTTAAAAACTACTACCATATCTGAAAATCTAGAAACTTAAGTGTTCTCGTATTACAATTTTAAAATAACAACATATAAAAATAATTGTTTGATGTACCTCTGCGAGTGACAAATATTTTTGTTTTTTGGAGCAA